TATATATATATATAAACATGATGCCTTCTTAAATAAATAGATCTTATTTTTGCTTATACAGGTTGCTGTATAAGCGACTAACTGAGAGTTATTCGCCTCTTTGTCACTGACACAGCTGCACATCATTAAATTACCCAAAACACAGGAGCTAGTGAGAAAGTAAGGAGGCAGCATTTGTCCTCACAAACAGTCACGCTACTGTCAAAAAATAAAATCAAAAAAAAAGAATTTCCACCTGATAACTGAACTCCTTTAACCTCCTAAATATAGCTATGGCAGCCCCGAAGAGGAATACTTTCTTTATAAATCGACGAAGACTGCATTTTGGCCAGCCAGTGTCCCTCTCAACCCCAAACTGAGCACTTACCTACCTAGCCAGTAGTATTTCCTCCAGGCAGAGGTGATGTCCACGCCAAAATAAATCAAGAATAATCAATTAATCTTGACACGACGGTTTATAGACTCAGGAGGTGTTGTCGTTCCTCTGACTGCTCATAGTAGCGAGTAAAGTAGTCGCAAAAGCAGTGAAAAATGAAGTTAAGCAGGTTTACACATTTAGCCAGAATGCTAGATGCTGCTTGCTGCAACGTCAAGGTAGCGACACTTAGTATGACAGCATCCGGTGTTTGGACTTTCAAAGTAATTTTTAGAAACACAAACTTAATTCCCCATTATTTATACTGCGTGAAATGGGAAATAAGTAACATTTAGTTTAATAAAGTAAAGCATACTGGTGAGCCGATGGATAGGAATGACTCACAATACCTGAAAGGATGGAGACCTCCAACCTGGAAAGTCATTAAAATACCGTCCGGACATGTTTTAAGACTTATAAAATACTTTAAGAAATAACTATTCGGAAGACAATATATTTCCAACTTAACTGAAAGGTTCGTTTTCAGTTATAATTAGACATGATAAGCTTCCAAACTCAGTGGCAGACTGAAGCTGTTTGATTTGTATGGGCCATTCCGGTGTTGTCCCTGTTGTTTCTACTGATATTGACGCATCTGTTCTTCAGTTCCTAATCAGCTGACTAATAAGCGAAAAACACTTCCGCTATGGTTGTTAAGGGACCTGTGAGAAGAAGTCACTGCGTTTTCTAAACCGCAGAAGCACTGACAGCGAGCCACACATGTGGGGCCACAAAATGGTTATTTTCAACAAAATATTCGTGTAATTTTGGAATTTGTTTTCCAAGAGCCTCAAGAGGTGGTCAGTGTGTAGTGCTCCTCATGGGAGCGCAGACAGAAGCAACAGAAACAGAAAACGACCGAGCAAACAGAACAAAAACAGACACGGCAGCCTCTCCCGCCACACACACACACTTATGTTTCACCACTGCTACTGAGTACTTTGTTGTGACAATATATTACACTTTTACGGACACGCTGGTGGCGCATGGTGACAACAAGGTCTTTGCTTTTACTGTTGGTATCGATGTGTGATCGACTACAGTGTCTGGAACAGCAGCGCAGGGAGCACAACACCAGCGCAGCGAGCAGCCGCGTTTCAGAGGTAACGTTAAGAGGAGAAACTAACCGGACCTGAATGCTTTGAACAGAGAGATGTTGATCAGTGTAACTCATACGCACACAGAAATGTACACTACATCAGGTTTTAGGAGCTACATTTAGCCAGGAACCTCACCACGTGGGTTCAGGAACAACCGGTGTGTGTGTGTGGTTGGGTGTACTCGATTCGTCGTGTAGGGGTTGCTGGGCGGACGGTGTTTGCCGCGTATTGCGTTAATTGTGCCATAAGCTCTTCACCCCGACCACGCGGGCAATTTACTGCAACAAAACAAACGCTCCTCTAACTATGTACACCAGCGTGCTATACCTAGCTAGAACTTCACTAAAGTTACCTTTAACTAGGTCCGTTTATACTTATTTAAAGCCAGGTGTTCAAAGATTAGCTACAGAAAGTCGGCAGTTCACCTGTAGTAACATTAAAGTGACACCACAGACACATTTTACATCGTTGTACGGTTTGCATTATGGTAATACTTATACTCATATTAATAGTGTCCTATAGCACACTGTGTTCAGTCATAAATTTAATCTTTAGTGCCTATCGTGGCAAGTTTTTTATTATTAGTTCGTTTCTCAACACACACACACACACACACACACACACACACATATATATATCAGATATCAGTTTATATATGTAATGCTACTTAACATAAATACATTACTGATTCGAATACAACTCTGCACTGAAACATGCTTAATAAAATATCTGATAAATAAGTGATCTAATGTTATAGCCTTAGTTTTTAGGTTTTAGTCATTGGCTTTGGCATTAGTTTTCTGTATCTCGTATTTTTTTACTTATTTTTTTGTTGATTTTTAAAAAAATAGTTTCTTTTGTATTTATTTTTAGATATGCAAAATTGTATTCATCGTCGTATATTTTTTATTTTTTAAGTGTTTCAGTTTTGCTATGTGAAGCACTTTGGGCTGCATGTTGCTATAAAAAAGGTTGTGTAAATAAAGTTGAGTTGAGTCTAGACCTCTGAGTTCCAGTAGGGGAAATCTTTATGCTACAGCATACAGAGATAAACAATAATGTCCTTCCAGTTTTATGGAAACAGTTGGGTGAAGGCCCGTCCCTATTTCGAGATGACAGTGCCCCTTCCCAGGTTGCTGTGGAAAAAGCTGACCGGCCTGGCCTTAGATAATACATATAGTTTTCCAAATACTGCAGGATATATTTGTTTTGTAAGGATACATAAAGTAGAATGAAGTGTATGATTTGCCTCAGACATACTATAGATTCCTGTGGGAGTAGTTCAGGTATACTACAGTGTTTTATTTTTCTGTTTCATGAATAGTGTGATCAATCAAAGTCTCTCCTATGTTTTTGTGAAACAGGATTCATCACCACGTTAGGCTGCAGGTCATGGGGTTGACCAAGCAGTACCTGCGCTACGTCTCCAGCGCAGTGTTTGGAGTAATCGGCAGCCAAAAAGCCAACATCGCATATGTGACCCTCCGAGGGGGAGAGAGGGGCCGCTACGTTGCTGTGGCTGCATGTGAGCACGTGTTCATCTGGGATGTCCGAAAAGGAGAGAAGGTGAGCTTTTAACGTGGTAATATGACAGCGGAAGTGGAGGACAGATCCAGGGCTCCCACAACTTCAGGAACTCCTTCCAACTCAGATCTTATCCAGATTTCATCCAGCATCTGTCTGTCTGTCTGTCTGTCTGTCTAGGTCCTGATCCTGCAGGGCCAGAAACACGAGGTGACCTTCCTCTGCCCCTCACCCGATGGCATCCACATCGCCGTGGGTTACGAGGATGGCGCCGTGCGAATCTTTAGCTTGCTGAACGGCGAGAGCAATGTCTCCTTCAATGGCCACAAGTCTGCTGTCAGCGTCATACACTACGACAGGCTCGGAGCTCGGCTCGTCACTGGTTCCAAGGTAAGGCAGGCGGGTTTGTCTTTGTATTTGTGGTTTGATCTTTACATGCTTTTAAAATTGTACATGGAGACAGAGTGTCGAGGAGACAGCAGCCTTTGGGATCAAGATACTGATGTTACAATCAGTAGACGATCAATTGGGTTTCATGTAGCTGAGGCACCTTGTTTGTGTCCAGACTTAATCAAATCAATCAAATTCCAGCTTGGATTTCGGGTACTGGCCTTTTGTCTGTTTGTTATAGCGTGTGTTAAGCATGTTATCCCCCCAACCCCCCCCTTCAGGACACAGATGTGATCGTGTGGGACATCATCAATGAGTGTGGGCTGTACAGGCTGAGAGGCCATAAAGACATCATCACACAGGCCTTGTTCCTCAAAGACAAGAACCTCCTGGTCACCAGGTAACACACCTTTCACCCAATGCTCATAGCTAATGTATAATCTATAAAATGTAGAACATCATTGAGGACACAGAAGAGTCAAACATTGTCTTAGTGGTGATGGCCGACGGTGGTCAGGTCCAGCTTATTTTAAACTTATCTATCAAGCAATCTGTATACAAAGATACAAATTATTAATTAATTTCATGTATCTGCAGAGCTTTATGAAGCTCCTTCTTAATCCCAGTGACTCAACCTTCATTGTGTGTTGAGATTTCTGCCTCTAAAATCTCCTGTACTGTTTCATAACAAATAAATTCCACCTATTATTGTAGAGCCCACCACCTGGCTCGCAGCTACCTGTACAACTCTCAGTTGTTGGAATTTACGCGCAATGACACGTGTTGTACGAGTAGCAGTTCATCATTCTGCATGTGTGAAATAATATAATGTAATGACAATTTTATATAATAATATATTATATTGAGCACGTTTTATCTGACAGAAATCTGACGGCATACTTCATATTGACAGATGCAATTGAGAGCTTGAGGGAACTTTCCCAGCAGAGTTTCTGGGCTGTGATTTTAACACCATGTGTCTCTTTGACCTCATTCACTTTTGGCAAAGTAGCACGTTTCTATTTTCCTATTAATTTTAGATTAATTTTAGATTAATTTGGAATTATGAAATTCCCCATATGTTATGACTTTAAAAATAATCATGCTGTTACTTAGTATTTACAGTAAATGTGTGTTAATGTGACTTTAAGCCTTATGAACCTGCATGTGGGTGTGATTATGATTAGTGCTAATCTTAAATAACATAATCATAATCTTAAATGTAATATAATGTTTGATGTGATATTTGAATTGTTGTCTTTAAGCCAATAACCTTTAGTGACACTAAAAACACCCTCCTAGGCTCAACACTGTTCAAAACTAATACAGTGTGTGTGTATCTGTGTGTGTGCTGCTGTACAGCTCCAAGGACAGTTTTGTGAAGTGGTGGGACCTGGACACACAGCACTGCTTCAAGACCATGGTGGGCCATCGCAGTGAGGTAATGGGGCTTCTTACTCCGCAGACATTCACACAAACCAAAGGGATGCAAAGATTTAGCTGAATGAAGGGAAAGGGAAGGCTCCAGGTTTCTAAACACATGTAAACATAACCAGTGTGCTCGGAGAACTCACAAGCAGGTTTCGATTCTCACTCTCCTTGATTTATATGCATTTGACTTTTCAGTTCAGTTTTCCAAAGCAGAGTTAATGTGGTTTAAGTCTCCTGAGTTATGTCTGAAAAGGTCATTTCATTGTATCACAACAGTAGTTGGCAGTAGACAAGGGAGACGGGTCGATTCATTTAACTGAATGGAGGCTGATAATTAGATCACTGTGACTGCTCTATGAGAAACAAACAACATTATAGTAGAAGTTATCTTCTACTATAATATCGCTATTTGTTGTCACCAAGACCATGTACTCTATCTCAAGCTATTGGTTCATGGTTCCGTGCATATTCACTGGTTTAATTTGGTGGACGTCAGCAATATAACTTTTATATAACATTTCTACAATCAATTATTTAAATATTAATTGTTAATATTTCATTCAACTTGACATTGTTCTATCTTGATGAATGAGATGAATCTATCTGACAGTGTTTATTTTCCTTCGTCTGTCTGTGTGTGTGTGTGTG